TTGTGTAAAAATTTAGTTTTGGTGGTTGAATTTTGAGGAACTGCCCATCTGAAAGAATCCTTTTTGTAAACGCATCAATGATTTTATCATGAAAACCTATGAATAGATATACCTTGTTCTAAAGACTAGAATATTGTGTATAATTTGTTTTCATAAATTGATGACTTTAGGTACTGACATAAGTGGTTTACAATTTCTTCATTTAATTTCATGTACTATATTAATCACTTTGTCCAATAAAGAAAATTAACAGAGATTTTATTGATGGGGTTGATAATGACTTTTGTACTACAATTACCTTGAACAAATCAAGGCCTTTTTGTTTTNCTTCCAAACACTTTGAAATATTCAGTAAAAGCAAAATGCCGTGCTGGATATAAATTGTGGATGAGAATAATAAAAAAGGAATTTTCATTCATACTAAATAAAATTATCCATTACAATCGAAATCATGTGTCTCGACATGCCGAGAACACAAAAAAAAAGAAAGAAAGAAAGAAAAAAGTTTCCTCTTAGCTCAACATAAATCTAAAGCATGTAATAAATTGGTAAATTTTCTGTTAGCATGCCTAGTGGATAAAATAGTCATACTTTCTATAACTCTCTTAAAACAATGAGTGGTTTCTTGGAAATTTGAATTCCGCATATTATCCTCAAAAGATGTTATTTTAAAGGATATAAATGTAATCTGTGATTTTAAATTAGGGTTGATAATGATAATTCGTAACTCATCCGACCATATTTAAATATAAACTTGAATTGCTAATAGTACCCCCAAGAAAAAAAATGTAACTTTTGTTTGAAGGATATAAATGATATTATAATTTTAATTGAAAATCACATTACAACTATACAACGATCTTCTTTATTATAAATAAGTTGTTTCCAACTCTTTCATTTTCTCTTCACATATACAATTGTTTTTCATTCATATAAAATTTATTTTAAGCTCATCCTATTATTCATCATCATCTACAAATATTAATTTATTTATGACAAGAGTATGCATAGTCCCATTTGAGGTATCACCTTCTAAATTGTTGGTCATTTTCAATCAAAAATTATTGTAGATTAAGGTATGCGACTAATTTATATGTCATCTAAATGTTTTTTAAATGAAATTGTTATACAATATGACATTATGATTAATTTAAATTTTATTATATTGTTGCATTTCATTATTATTATATATATTTTTATATTTTAGTATTGTGACATTACTATTACTTTCTGTTTAATCATACTTTCATTTTTATAATTTATAGTGAGTATACCTTGTGAATTAGAGAAAAATGAGAAAAAGTAGTATGATGCTTTCACAATTCAGGGTCCACTGAAATATCCAAAATCTTTAATTAGTCTTTATTTATAAAAGACGACGAGAAAAAAATAGTGAATATCATGTCTAAAAAGTATGTATATTATATTTTATAGCTAATAAATAAAAGTTTACAAATATACTCGACGGCTATCCAAAGCTTTCGCGTCTCTCTAAATTGCAGTAATGGTAAAATCAGTTCAGATAACTTAACCAGTTAATGGATTTTGAAAAAAAAGAAGGGAATAATATTTTATTAAAATATTGTTGAATGATATCCAATTTTATTTTATTATTTTGTATACTTTTTTTGTGTATTTTATTTGGGCTGTAAGAGAAGTATATACTATTTTATAATTAATAAATTTATAAATTAATATTTCATTAAAACAACTTAATATTGATATCTATTCTTTTATTTTTATAGATTTTTTGTGTATTTTATTTGGACAGTAATAGGCAACAAAAGATAATCATTATACAAACTTATTCATATTAATTTATTATAATGTAGTCATCCTATAAGCAACCAAAATAGAGTCAAAACAATACATTATAACTTATATATTTACTTGTTATTCATTTTATTCATTTAGTTTGAAACTCCAGTTATCCTTAAGAAATGAAACGTAACTTTTAGATATTTGTTGCATTTTTATTATTTCTTTTGGATATTTTAGTATTGTGACATTATAATTGATATTGTGGTTATATTTTCATTATTTATGGTGGATTTTTTCTTGTGAAATAGAGACAAATTAGAAAAGTAGTATGATGTTTCCACAATTTATAAAAGTTAGTAATACATATATATTTTTTTTTAATAAATATTAAGCCAAATAATAAATATTCCTTTTAATTTGCAATACATATTATTTAAAAATCACCTTCACAAATGTTTATTTTCATCACTATGTCTTTAAATGTTTGCTTATATTTATTTTATAGATATAAAATAAATTACATGTAATGAAGAGTTTATAATTTTCAAATTTTATAAAAATGAAACTATAATTTAGGTTCTTCTATCATTTCAGTAAAAATTAATAATTCCAATTTAATGCCATATATATATATATATATATATAATTATTTGATAGGTGATAAATAATTTTAGTGTAGTCTATTTTCAATGTTCAGAATGTATAAGTATTCAATTTAAGTGTGGGTATATGAGTTACAAATCATCATTATCAACTCTAATCTAAGATATTTTTTTAATATTAATTACAGTTGAATGGTTGTGAATGTTCACTGTCATTTTCAAAATTTAGTAAAAACCCACTAAAGTATATAGACATCATGTGTAACAAGTTAATACGATAATAATCAATTTTTTTAAAAGTGAAAATACAAGTTTTATGTAATAAACAATCATTCTTTTTTTAGTTTAATCGAAATTAAGAAAAATAAATTTAACTCATTTTTCACTATGGAATTTAAATCAAGAATAATTGAAATGGATTGAAGTTTAATTTTGTAATCACTACCTTATAAGGGAGAGTTGTTTCTTGAATCCCAAAAATTCCATACGATATGATTAATTTCCAAGGTTATTAATGTGATTTTGTCACAACTGTTAGGGAGTTACAAATGTTAATAGTTACAATCATTTTTTAATCTTTTTTCTTTCATTCTACTTTTTTTTTTTTTATCTATGATCTTATTAATATTTTATTATATTTTTTACCTATTCAATAATTTAATTTCTTTTAGTTGATATAAAGATGTTAAGATTATCTAAACAAATATATAAATTAGAAATAAAAAAATTGAATAAAATTTACTGAAAATGTAGTTTTTACATGTAAGAGAGTATTATTTTAAAGTTTTGTAAGTAAAATATATTTTATTTCGTAAGTGTAAAATATATAATGTACCAATGAAAGTATCATCTATAATTTCCAAATATCTATTTTACTATAGATATTTTTTGTTATAGGATTAAAAAAAAATAAAGAGGAACCATTTAGTGAACATACATATGTTTAAGAATGATTGAATCAAAAACTAGTTATTCAACATACAAAATATCAATATTTTGTGGAAAAAAAAAATGATTAGTTAAGTGAAAATATAGTCTTAATAGAAATACTTTGTTTAAATTATTCACTAAAACAATATGCATGATATGATTTAAGTTTACCTGTTAATAGTATGTATAGTATAAATGTTCTTTTATGATAATACGTGTTACATATATTAAATCAGAATAGAGTAATTATAAAATAAAATAAAAAGTTAATGCTCGATTTTAAATCTTGAATTTCAAAATATGTGTTCTTGTTAGAAAAATATAATTACAATAATTACAATAAATTAAATAAAAATAAATATTATATTTACTTTAAATTTATTTTCATTAGCCAATCTTATTTATAAAATCATAGATAAATTAAAATTTTCAAATCACTTCTCAAAAGTAGGAAACATAAATTTTATAAAAATATTGACAAATATATAAAAATAATATTAAGATAAAATAAAATATAAAAGAATCATCATTTTATAATTTATTTAAAATAGAATAATTTATTTTTCACTTTTAGGATAGTCTTGAAAATTCATGAACGAGAATGATAATGCATGTATGACAATGTTAGGGGATGCAACAATAATTTATTTTGGACAATATATATATATATATATATATATATATATATATATATATATATATATATATATATTTCGATCAACCAATGTTACCACAATATATATAGATAGATAGGTATCTTTAATCAATCAAGGATGTTATTGTTCCAAATAATTTTCAGGTAAATTTTTTTTTTTTAAATAGTTGCGATTTTAAAGATATTTATCTCTTACGTCATTATATACACAGAGAAAATATATATCTAAGTTTTATGAAATATCACACGTGCAAATACAATTGAATTTGCAACCATTATAATTAAAATAATAGAGAACGAAACATTATGGGTTAGCTTTCAATCGACAATAAAAAAATTTATATTACAAATTATAGTTATAGTAAATTCGAGTTATTTTTCAAAGAGTATGACGTAAAAGGAAGACATTAAAAAACTATTATTTTGACAGTAATAATGATCATTATTTTAAGCATAATGATGATATCATTAATTAACAAAATCAAGGACAACCTAGATTTCTTTAGCATCTAAAATTTCACAAAAAATCTTAATTTATTTTAGATTTTCTAACCAATATTTTTTTATATAATTTTATTTATCATGGAGTTTGGTTAATAGTATTAAATATTATATTTTATCATAAAATACACAATTTTTTGTTAAATAATGGAAAGAAAATTATATTATACTATTACATTAAATCTAATAATAAAAATAATTTTAAGTAAAAAAACAAAAACAATATCATGTGCGTATCACGTGCATTTTTCTAGTTTCAATAAAAAGTTAAAAACACATATTTTCATACGGCATACTTTAATATACAATATAAGCATAAGCATAATTTCTGAGTTACATTTGATATATCTCTGCTTGTTTTATAATCTTGCTTTCAACTTGATCATGATATTTACATAATTTTTCCCCATAAAGTTTCAATCTTTCAATAGGGATCATTCTACATATCTTGAGTAGTTAATACATAATTTAGAAAAAAAAAAAAAAAAAATGGTTTCAAATTATAGTGTTAATTAGATACTAATGAGTTTGTTTTATCCACAAATTATCAGCATGCACCATACAATAGGACGCTACCAAAAGCATGCAAAAGAGATTCAAGCTAACAATCCCTCTATGGAACATGATCATACACAGGTGACTTCTACGGTGACTTAATATCCCAATATTGTTGTTCTATCTCCTTCGATTAAAATTTGAAAAACTCGATTATTTAATTTGCTTTTGCCAACTAAAGTTGATCCCTCGATTTCACCTTAATTCTTCGAAAGTTGCAGCATTTGAAGCTTGAAGCAGCAAGCATGATGAAAAAGATAGAGCAACTCGAAGCATCAAAGGGGTTTGTACATTATAGCTAGCAATCGTTTTTAGTTAATACTGAATAAATATTGATAAATTTTCGATTGTTTTTTTCCTAAGAATGAGTGTTTAATTATATTCTCCAGGAAGTTACTTGGACAAGGTTTGGGGACATGCACCATTGAAGAACTGCAGCAACTAGAACGACAGTTAGAGCGCAGTGTTAGTGTCATACGCGCGAGAAAGGTATAGTGTATAATTTTTTTTTCCGATGTTTCTTTATTTTTATTTTTTTCTAAATTTTCGGGTATAAGGTAGAAAAATTTTTATAGTATATAATTTTTTTTCCGATGTTTCTTTATTTTTATTTTTTCTAAATTTTTGGGTTTAAGGTAGCAAAAAAAATTATCTTCAAGGTTTTGCTTCAGCTAATGGGAAAGAAAGGGAAAAAAAAAAAGATTCTATTTGCATTTTATTGGATCTCATAACTTTGCTCTAATTTTTCATTTAATTTATTTTCTTCTTTTGGGGGCCTCCATGCAGATGCAAGTGTACAAGCAGCAAATTGAGCAACTGAAAGAAAAGGTAAATTCTTCTAGATTTCTAGTACTTTACTTTGAATTGCTAGATATATATTGAGATGGGATTCATCATATTGTAAGAAAAAATATGGAAATGTTTGAGCTTTCTTATTAGTAATTCATGTAGAGGTGTTTTAGCTTTCTTATTAGTACTTCATAGAAGGAGATAGCTTTATTATTAGGAAATTAAAGATTTAAGTTTTCTTATAGTAATTCAGATAAAGATTTTAGCTTTCTTATTGGTAATCAGATAATGATAGTTTCTTATTGAGAAAGGTTTGAGCTTTCAAATTATTAGGAACAAAAACATGCATCTGTTATTATAATAATGATAGCTCATATAACAAGTTTTTGTTTTGAAAACCCAGGAAAGAGCCCTAGCTGCTGAAAATGCCTTGCTTTATGAGAAGGTGAACAGTTTTATTTTGCCCTTTTTATTACTCACCAGTGTTTTTCTTTTAATTTTACTTAATTTCTGAATAAGATGATGAAATATCCATCTAGCATTATGTCATTTATCTAAAAATTATCTCATATACTGAGAAATATTCTACATGAATATCATGTTATTGTGCCGTGCTCGTGTTTCACTGTCGTGCATGCTTTCATATCATTTATTTTGTTTGATCATAAATATGACAATAAATCCAAATTTTACCAAATTTTTTATTTCGTGTCTTTCGTATCGTGTCGTGTTCGTATTTTGGGTTTCGCCACCCTTTGCTACATCTACATATGAATAAGTGTCTAATCATATGCATTCAAAAAATTATGATAGCTTGACTTGCTGTAGTATTTTATCCTATAACATCATCTGAATTCAAACTGTTTCCAATTTCATTTTCAATTGTATATAGTCATCACCATTTCCTCCAAGCATCCAAAAAATAAATTAATATATAAATAAATAAGCAAATTGAATAGATTTCTACTTCTTCCCTTTCTATTAGTCATACATGACCTCCAAGAATAATCAAATTTTCCAACTGACTTTCGATATGATTAGGTTGGTATTGAAACAGAAAGGGAGTTGAAGGAAGAGAAGGCGGTCGGGACTCCTGCAGAAATCAGCGAAATTTCGGATGTCGAGACAGACTTATTCATCGGGCCGCCCGAGACAAGAAATAAACGTTCCTTCCCAAAATAAAAGTGTGGATAATATGTGTTGTTGTGTAATATGTGCTCTGATTTATTAGTTACTACTACAGTGTGGTAGTTAATTCTCAGTCTCAGCATTTTCATTATTTTGAAGTATGCAAAATAATGCATGGTTAGGGTTGTGAAAACCCACATTTTGTCCTAAAGTTGGTAAAATTAGCTCTTTTTCACGTGTTGCCAGAGATTGTTTCATAATTTTGAGCTAATGGGATATTATTTGGAGATGATACATTAGTTATGAATATGTGTGCGACTGTGTGTAATCTAACGGATAGGAGAACTATAACGGGTAGGGTCGAATTTGCATTGTGATGGTAATTATTACACTTATTTGGGCTAAAAATGCAAATTATGGTCATTGTAGAACTCAAATATTAATGTACCGGAATCAAATGAAACAAAGTAAATTGAGACATGGAAAAACTAGACATTAGTACTAACCTTCAACGCCAAATTTAAATTCAACGCATAGTTTCAGCTCAAAACTAGATCAAAATATAATGCAGTCAACAAAATTTTGGCAATATACAAGACTGGAATAACTTGCATTATTTTTGTTATGATATTTAGCAACATTTCGACCACGAAAATACTTAACTTGATCCCACACTTAACCACATTTCAAAAGGGATAACGAATATATATATATATACACAAAAGATCAGAACCACATGAAATTTAACACAAAACCGAAAATAAGAACTAATTGGGGGCATAGGGCTCGAATAAAGTCACACAAGGGTTAGGGTCATACTGCATTATTTCGGCCGCACGTTCAAACTCTTCACGAATGACCCTAATGCTGTGCTTGTCCACCACACGGCCAAGATCGTGAGACACCTCAAACGGGTCCTCGATGCATATCAAGTGGCGATCATTACCAACCCGTTTGGTCCAGTCTTTACTTCTCTTGCTGTGGAAAAACAAAGTGTTTTGATCAGTTATTTTGATAAATGTGTGTTTGTATCCATTTCCTTTTCATTTTTTTTATTTCTATTTATTTATTTTTTACTTTTTCATTTTATTTTACCTCAGTGTGCTTCCAGTACGAACTGAGATAACGTCATTTGCATAATCATGACAATAAGCCCAGTAGTGGAAAAAGGCCCAGACTAACTGAGCAATACTTTCCCCATTGTGGGACCCGAAGTTTTGTAGCTTCTCCACTTGATCAAAATAAGCGCACTCGACATTTTCTACAGTCGCAAAATAAGTAGTCACCATTCCCTGTCGAATAACCAGAAACGACATGAAAAAGCATATTTGAAATACCACTAACCAAAAAGAGTCAAACCCAAAATTAACTAATAAATCATTCTTACACATCACATCAATTTTAATTTACTATTCACCCACTCGCATAATTTTAACTAAGCGTCACTTCACACCTTTTCTCTCCTATTTTTATAGGAAATTAACTTTAATTATTTTATATTAAATATTATTTTAATATAAACTCAAAATCCCACTAACAGCTGATTATACCACTTTCTTCTTTTTTTCAAAAAATTAACATTGGTTAACAAAAACAAAACATTTTGAGCAGATATATTTGTATCCAAGCACGCCCCAAGTCTTCATCCACAATGGATACCGAACAGAAAAGTGATACACAGCATGGTGTTGTTCTACTGTTAAGGTCACAAAAGGATTGGATAAGAGAGAACATGTTTATTGTAGCATGCCATGCACAACGACAAATTCAGAAGTATCAGTATAAAATAAAGCAGAAAAGCAAAAAAAAAAAAAAGGCCTAGAAACTTGAGCTCATCCATTTACCTGTAAGCAAGGAAGTATGGCGGGCCTACGCTGTTGCAAGAAATGAATGCACATTAATACATACCTGCAACAATATTCAACTACTTATAAGCCCAAGGAATAATCAGAAAAGCCAAAAATATGAAATAATTTTCTGTGCTAAAAAAAAAACTCACGCATAACTAGAGAGTGTTCCTTGGTAAGTTTCATTAACTCCTCGTGATTTAGCCCAGTGTTTGACAATAAATGCCAACTGCCTGAGTCTTACATCTATGCGTGCATAATCATGGAGCAGCTTTGTATTCACAACAGCCAGCACATTGTTTATACAAATATCGCATGAAATACCAGTAGCTGGATCCATGAGCTTAACTACAGGAACTCTGGCACGTGTAAGTGCCTGTACAAGTAACAGGAATGTCAACATTTTGTGTATTGAGGTTTAACCACGATAGGACAAGTAAGATCAGAAGCCAAACGAATCATTGTCATTCAAATCAGAATTCTATGCAGGCCTCATTCTTACCCACATAGCAAATAAACTTCCGACCTTAATATACGAACAAACATAATTAAATTAATAGTGAGTTAAAACAAATGGCACATGCAAGTATTTTACCTGCACATTTTGTAGATTGCCGGACTGTAATGTCTCTGCCAGCTTTAGCAAGACCTCAGCCTTGTCCTTATCCCCAAGATCCATCTGAAGACAAATATCAATATCGCTTTTTGAAAAGCCGAATGAGTTGGCACAGGATCCATATAGGTGTAATCGAGCCTCAGGCCATTCTTTGCCAACTAGCTTCTCCAATACCGTCAATAACTGTTTTTGCTTTATTTTTTCTTCATCGGGAGGGATTAAAGACTCAAACACGGTTAAAAGGGGGGCATTTAGTCTGTGTATATCATTTCGACATGTTGCACGGCTCTTAACAATTCTCATCCTCTGAGCCATTATCCACTGTCCCCTCTTGTCGGATCTATATTCCTGATTGCAAAGCGCAACGGTCAGCTATCAAGAAAATGCAGTTCACATCAACTGCATCAATTATCAAACATAACCTCAAACTTAAAGCTTTCTGAACAAAATATATATATATATATATTGGGGCTGGTTCAAATAAAAACTAGTCCTGGTGTGAGAACCGTGAGAACCGTATTTGATGCTATTTTTAATTATGTATGATGCTATTTTTAATATTTAATGATGCTATCATTTTCACAAATGCATTGCTATTTTTAATAAAATTCGTCCTAGTTAAAAATAGCACCAAACACAATCAATCATAGCACCACGCACAATTAAATATAGCAGTTCTCACGGTTCTCACACTAAGACTTGATTCTCATTTGAACCACATCCTAATATATATATAATATATTATATATATAGTTGAGAAATATATAATATTTGTTCAAACTAATCTGAAATGGAGCAATATCATTTCAATAAAGAACTTGTAAGCTCAAAATGCTCTAGCTCTTATTTTGAGAAGTATAAAGAAATAAATCAACATATCAACCTCATCCCGGCATCCAGATCTTCTAGCGAAAGCGGCTAGTCATAGGACCTCCAATTGTAAATATAATTTAAGTCGATGCTGAATAAGACTACCATGAGTTTAATCTATTATACTCTATCATTGCATAGTATAAAATAACCATGAGTTTGATCTATGATAATGAAACAGTAACTTTCCAACAAATAAATTGAAATAAAATAACATAAAAAGGTTCCTATCACCAAATGGATGGACTATGGGGCAACGTAGCTATTCCTTAACCAGACATGACAAAATGGCCACTAAAAGGAAACAGGGGTTTGAATTTTTTTATCAATTGTACAGAGAGAAGCTCATAGTCCAGGTAAATTTAAGGACACAGAAAATTTGGGATAAAATAATCTCCCTTTTAAAGTTTTAAGTTGCCAGATAATAGATATTCATCAGAGAATCAAAAAATGGTCATCGACAATTAACCTTTAGACAATCTAATCAAATGACATTAGCAGCCTTTAACTATTTAAGTTGCCCGGTTTTCTTTTCATTACTGCACTAGAACTTCAGAAGTTCATATGTCAGTATGTAAACCTAACAAGAAAAGTATGATCAAGACGAAGAGGATGGTGCTTCTGCCCAAGAACGAGAATAACAAATAAGTCCCAGATATAAAGATATTGTTACATCTGTCTCAATGTGACACTTTGTCATAAATATGAGATAGTGAAACTTTATTACAGCCAATTATCTGGCATAAATTCTGTTTCCACATTTCTGTAACAGCAAATTTTCCATTTGTCAACTTCTGATTGGTATCACATGTTTAAAAACACCATCACAGCTATGGTGCCCGTTATAGCATGAGCAAAACAAATTTACAGATACATTCCTACATCACACTTAATAATTAGCAGTTAAATACCCAAATTAAATAACACCAAGATATTAATGAGTCACATTAACTACGCCACTGTATCTGATTGAATATTTTCAGCTCTGTTTCCAACAAGACACAAGATTGATAAACAACTGGAGATACCTTGTCCCTGTAGTGCTTCTTTTTATCAGAATCATCTTCAAGTCTCTTCTCAACAGAATTGTCTTCAACAGCCAAAGAACCCACAAGCCGATCCAAACCGTTCATCTCACTCACCCAATTATCCCGGCTCATCTTATCCCTGTTAACATGTCTCGATTCTTCAGCCTTATTAGCATAACGATCCATCAACTTCTCAATATCGAAGGCTGAAACAGACTGAAAGCTGCTTCCAGCAGGTGGGACAACAGATTTCAGCCGATTGCTCAGCATATCATTCTTATATGCATCACCTGAACTAACCTTGTCCTTATCTACATTCGAAGTCCTTCCACCATAGCCATACTCACTGTTCTTCACATTCTTTGCATTACTCAAAAACCCCGGTGGTGGAGTCACAGGCCCCATTGCCCTACGATTTCCAGAATCTCCCCTACTTAACCTGTTGTTACTGTTACTACCCCTTTCCTGCTCGTAACCTCTGAATGCAGATGATTTTCCTCGTGCACCGCCATTGACCTCAATGGGATTCATCGGGGCACTGTTAAGTCCCATATCGATTCCCAATCTCTCTTCCAAATAGGAGTTTCCAGGTTTATTATTCCGATGTAAGCTCCTATGCAAAACATCCCCAATATTATCCGGCGGGACATCAAGAATCAGCGACCCAAATACGAGATTTTCACCCAGCTGCTGCTGATGCGAGCTGGAATGTCCCGCGTACGACCGTAATTTCCTCGTATTCTCAGCCGCCGGAGACAGAATCGACTGAGGATTGAACCGGTGCTGACTATTACTGAATCCTCCAGGTGACGAGCAGAAATCAGGGTTTAAAATAGGGTTCAAGTTAGGGTTTTGTGGGAAGTAATTGTGCGGAGCAAGTGGCGGGGAGGTGGAGTGATTCCACGCGGCGTAAGTGAGATCGCGTCCGTCGGAAGGGAATGCCGCAACGTGCGGCGGGTAGAAGGCGGAGATTGTGGGGCCGACCGCCGCGACGGCGGGGTCCTGGGAGGGCGTCTGAGAAGGCTGCTGATGTGGCGGGTGAGTCTGAGGGTTGGGATTTTGGGATTTTCGGAGGAGCTGGAGGAGGAACTCTCCGCCGTTCGCCGGCGGCGTGTCGCCTCCTCTGCCAGTGTTCATGGCGGCGAGATTAGAAGTGATCGGATAAAATTGCCATCAGTGTGCCTGCTTTTGTTGCAATAAGTAAGTGAGGCAGCTTGTCTTTAGGGGTTAGTTTGATACTTGAGAAAATATATACAAAAAAATATTACATGATTAAAAAAGATTTCATGCAAGAAAAATTACAATAGTGAAGATAAAATATAATTTGTGTGCTTAGGAAATAATAAAATATCACCAGACTTGTCTTCAAGTTGGTGTTTGGTAAAATGTTTGTAGGTGTTTCCCACATATTTAGGCTAATGCTCAAAGTAAGAATGAGTGCTAAACAATGA